ACACTCAATGTGTACTATTTCCCAAACAATTTCGGCAGCTCTGGTTAACTAGGTCACAACGGCTGAAGGAACTTTCCAAGCCTAACCTGTATTCTGATCAGGAGCCTCCGCACCTTGGGGGATTTGGCGTCCTCAACCCCCCCCCCCCCCCACTCCTCCCGTGTGTGTGTGTTCCGGGCCCGATTTGGCGACCGGCCGGGAAAAGGGGGGGGGGTTAGACCTCATGCCTTCTAATAAACATGTCGTAAAAGGCGACTAAAAAATACATGTGCACAGCTTCCCTCACTCAGCATAGCATCAGTTGGATACCACCACTTGGACAAGGTTGGGCTCCTAACCAGGTGATTTCCCTTAAAAAAATGCGGTGAGTGCACTGCAGCCAACCTTAACTGCGGAGATGACACAGCTCTACTTGTTAGTTTAGTTCCTTCTGTCCTATCTCATATTGACGCTCTGGTACCTTGCGGTGTGGCAGCGAAGATGTGCAGGAAAGTGTCCGTTTGTGCACTTCGTAAAAGGGAATTCCCAAGGTCTCGGTTATTCTTTCTGTCCATCGTCTGCCTCTTCTTGCTTGCTGTGGTATTCTGTTTGTTGGCATCCGCATTATATGACCAAACCATTTCATTCAGTTCCTGCTGTCCCACGCTGTTGTTTTCACTTCTTTAAAATCGTGCACCAGCTGTTTTAAACTAAACATTCTAAATTCTAATTATTGAAAAGTTATTTAGTTACGTCTATCCTCTTGAGTCTAGGCTTTCGCACAGGGCAAAGGTCATATCTCTCCATGTCTGGCGGTTCGTTGCCAGTTGTTTCAGGTCTTGAATGTTTATTAAGCCCATGGTTGAGCCTTCCCTGATGATGGTTCTATGCAGCGTCTCTCTTGGTCTTTCCAAGATAGACAAGTTGGAGACTATTTTTTGCTGGTATTCAAAGAGTTGAGATCCAGTGAAGTAAATCTGACGGATTGCATGTTGTATTTAGAATCTATATCACAGAACTCGGGACGCCCCCATATGCGCTACGTCCCCATCTTCAACAGCAGTCAAAGAGTTTCAATTCCGATGGCACCAGTAACTGCCTGAGTGTATATCCGTCTCGCCTTTCCCCCCGAGTGTTGAGCGCCGGTCAGATCCCTTTGTAACTCCTTGCAGCGCCTTTCTCCCCAGACTGTAATGATCTATCTGTGCCTCCGTACTGTTTCCGATGAGTCCTCAGAACATCCAGCCTCACACACATCAGTTCACCACCAAGTGGTGCAGAACCAGTCAGTCTATCTGCCTGCTCATTTCTCAACACACCAGCATAGCCTGGAGAAAATATCCAAAGGATGCTAACGCACCCGGGATAATTGAAGTGATGTTTGCCACTCTGCGTGGAGCATGCCTGTCTCCACCTTTCTCAACATGCTCTGTGAGTCAGTTACAATGACGGCATGTGTATACAGCTGATTCTCTAGCCAGTGAAAAGCAGCAGTGACTGCCTCCACTCTCAAACTAGACTTTTGTGATATCATATGCCAGGCTTTGCTGCACCAAGTGATGTCCATTCACTTTTGCTAAGAACCCCTATGCACTTCATTTGCCCCCCAACACAGAGCCATCTGTACAGATAATCACATCACCTGGGTGGTAATTGTCATGAATCATTTGTTGAATCTGACTGAAAGCAGTCTTAACAATGAAATTTTTTTTTTCTTTCCAGAAACCAGTACACACCAGAAAATGTCCAAAAGGTGCGGGAATACAATGCGTCTGTCGCAGCGCTACAGGGGGAGGGAGAGGGGCTAAAAGAGATGCTGATATTGTGTACCATTACATACATCCAGAGGAAAAAAAACTGGATCTAACAATGAGATTAAATAAAACACTATTGAATGATTTGATTACATAAAAGCTGCCTCAATCCTAAATAAATATGTACAGAAACAAACAAAGAGCCCCACAATAAAAGTTTATTGGTTAACTATTACTGCACTTTCTCTCCAACACGACGTCGCATTAGCTAAAAATATTACATTAAAAAAGTTCAGACTCAAAGATACATGTTTTGTTCTGTTTATAAAAGGGTGTCCTAGGGAAAGAATGTAGAAGGCAGGAAGCATCATGCAAATGTTGGTATCAACATGTGGGCAGGAAGATGCCTGTCTGACTGGGCCAAAAAAAAAGATGCCTGTCTGGCCAGGCTAGAAGATGCTTGTCCGAGTCCGAGTGAGAAACGACAACAAATGAGCAGTATATCTGACCGGGCAGGTATATACTTCCGGGTCAATCCCGCGCCAAAACCCGTTACCAGTTAGTCCTGGGAAGTAGAGGCCCATGTGGTATTTATGTTAAAAATATAATTCAAGCACTGTATTCACAATGTGCCAAATGGAATTGAAAGGGTACTTTAATGACAGTTGGGAGGACTTTATTTGTATGATGTCATAAATGTATCATCTCCTTTGTTTACCGGCAGAAAGTCCTAGTTGAACGTCCACTTTGACTTTGGCTTTGTGTTAAGGTCTGCGTTTTGCGTGTACATGCGTTTTACTGGCTTATTTGTGTGCAGTTAGTTGTTCCTCGGGCAGATGCACTCCGACTTTGAAAGAACCTCACAATTAATTGACTTCTACGACATGCTTTTTAGGGAGGGAGTAGCCCTATTCTTGTTTTCTCCAAAATAGGGCCCAGGAAACCACACGAGGCAAACATTTCCGATTTCTTCTTTTACCTTTATTTGCTGATTTTCTTCTTCTTCCTGTCTATCATATGTAAACTCCGGGGGAAAGTTCTAGTTTTTCATAAATTTCTGGGCTTCAGTCTCATTGCAGAACTTGAGTTTTCCAGGCACCTCTGTTTTAAACTCCTGGCTTATTTGTTTCCAGAGTGCTAGTTCCTCAAATTTGAGGTAGATGCACTCCATCTTCGAAGGAAACATCCCTAATTAGTCTACTCTTAGGAGATGCTCATTAGGGAGCAGTGGGTCAATTCTTTCTCCCCCACCCCCACAATGGGCCCCAGAACTCACACAAAAAAATAACCCAATTAAGCAAAGACCCTCAACCAACTTGTGGAACACCATCACATTCTCTGCAACCTCAAGCAGTTAACGCTATGGGGGCGGGGGGGGGGGGGGGGGGGGGGGGGAAAGAAACACAGACCCCAGCTCTCACTCACAAGCATGTTCTAAAAGTCTATTATACAGGGGTCAAGCATGTTCTAAAAGTCTATTAAACAGGGGTATCACAGACCTTCACCTAACAACTTATGTCACATCTTGCATCACACACCTTCACCTAATGTATATTACATCCTGCATTGCTGACCTTCACCTAACTTATGTTACATCATACATCAACAGACTTCACCTAACAACTTATGTTACATTCTGCATCCAGTGCGTCACCCAACTTATGTTACATCCTGCATCAACAGACCTTAACCCAACTTATGTTACATCCTGCATTGCAGACCTTCACCTAACTAATGTTACATCCTGCATTGTAGACCTTCACCTAACTTATGTTACATCTTGCGTCACAGACCTTCACCTAACCTATTTAAAACATCTTGTGTCACAGACCTTCACACAACTCATGTTACATCCTTCATCAACACACCTTCACCCAACTTTTGTTACATCCTGCATTGCAGACCTTCACCTAACTTATGTTACATCCTGCATTGTAGACCTTCACCTAACTTATGTTACATCCTGCATTGCAGACCTTCACCTAACTTATGTTACATCCTGCATTGCAGACCTTCACCTAACTTATGTTACATCCTGCATTGCAGACCTTCACCTAACTAATGTTACATCCTGCATTGTAGACCTTCACCTAACTTATGTTACATCTTGCGTCACAGACCTTCACCTAACCTATTTAAAACATCTTGTGTCACAGACCTTCACACAACTCATGTTACATCCTTCATCAACACTTACCTTCACCCAACTTTTGTTACATCCTGCAGTGCAGACCTTCAACTAACTTATGTTATGCAGTGCAGACCTTCACCTAACTTATGTTACATTATACATCAGAGACCTTCACCTAACAATACCCACAATCCCAGAAGCTGGTATCTATAATGTCTGTACAACTGCCTACAGCAAGACATCGACCACAGTCTAATAGCCCGCCCCGCCACGCCAGCTGTGAGAGGTAGCCTGCAGTTGTCTTACTGTGTAATACTTGTCGAATAGTAATATCCCCGTGGGGGTTATAGAGCCCCATTGTGGGGAAAACAAGAACAGACCCACTGACTCCCTACCAAGTGTGTCGTAAGGGTCAATAACTGACAGCTTTTTTCCAAGTCAGAGTGCATCTGCCTGAAAGGAAACAAAAAATCTGGTGTGCAGGCAACTCTCAGGTTCTAAGAGAAGATTGAAATGCAGAATGCAGAGGTGGATGAACAACCAGAACTTTCCACCACAGGTTACAGCCTGTGAACGTGAAGAACAAGAATATTAATAAACTTTGCAGATCTGTTTTGATGGTATTGGCATTTTTTCTGTTCAACTTGTAGGCCTATTTTAGCTTATCTCTTTACAATCTACAAAGCAGATTGTCAGTAACTTGTGAAATTAAATGTGACCCTCCAAGCTTTGAAGAAAAATTTTTCTGTGTACACAATGACCAATTTATTTTATAACTTATACTTAAATTAACATTTTTGGTGTATTAGGACCTCAGTTTGCAACAATTTTAAAAAAAAAACCACATCTTATATATGAACAATTATGGGTGTGTTTACTGCATTAAAACAAACCCGTCTCTCATAATTAGGAGAAAATAGTAACAGACTTCTGGCAACCTATCTCTCCTTCTCTCTCTCTCACACACACATGTGCATGCATGCGTGCAGACACACACTGAAAACAGAACCTGAGAGGGAGAAATGAAAAAGGCATTCAGTTGAGGAAGTTATGGAAAGAGATCGACAGATAAGAATTTTATCTCACAAATCATTTCTAAGCAATTCTGTTTTCTATCACAACTAAATCCTCCATGTTTAAACAATTTCTCGTCTCTGTCGTTTCCTGGCCGAACCAACAGGCTCCCCAAAGTCTAAAAACCTGGAGTCCTTAACATGAACCTGCGACTGTGCAGTCAACTGTAACTTGATGGCACATGCATTCAACTTGGAAGATTTAAACATTTTCTTTAGCCCTTTCATCTTCTCACTGTGCAGCTCAACATGAACCGACTCTACCGAAGCCGTCGGAGAATCTGAGGGAGATTGTACTTGTGTGGACTGCAGAGTGTTGTTTGAACTAGTGTCGTTATTCTCGTCACTGCTCCGTTCTGGTAAACCTGAGTTTGGGATGTGCTCAGCTGAACCATTGCAAGAGCTATCTGTGTTCAGTGGTGAGGTGAGCGATTCATCGAGGACTGAAGAATCAGAAATCATAGCTGGTGAGGAAGAGAACGGCTCACCGGCCCCAAGAAGGTAATCCTTATTCAGAATATTAACACTACATTGCAGGGCCAGAGCTGTGATGTTTGGATTGGGTGCAGCATCCAGACTGCAATCCTGCTGCACAATCTTGGAGGCAAGTTCTTCTATCGTAGACTTGATCTTGTGTTCAACTTTGTTCTGTTCATCACCATTCAATTTTGAGTCGGACCCACCAGCATCCTTAAAATTAGCATTTTTAGCCAAACTTGAATTTCTTCTTCGAGGACCTTTGCGTCCTCTTGGAGTCTCCCTTTGACCTGTCAGAGATTCCTCCAACTTTAGAACACTAGCATTACTGTTGCCAACATCTTTTGTTTCACGGGTTTGTTTGTCACTGCTTTTAAATTCATCAGTGCCATCATTGTCTTCCCCGTCATCATCATCACCATCACTGTCTTCATCTTTTCCTAAGTCAATCTTCGCTCGTGTTTGCGAATCAAATTTATTGAGGGAAAAAGTTAAATTCTGAGCCCAGCCGACGTGAAGAACTGGTGTTGAGCTGCCTTCTTCCCACTGACAAATCCCATCGTAAAACCGAAGTACATCTGCATACACTTCTGGGTTGTATAAAATATTCATCTGAACTCTGTCTGTTGTATTCGCTGATACAGCTTTCACGATGTTTGGAATTAGCTCGTTTGCAATTTCCAGAAACTCCTTATAGATTTCTATATCCTCTCTGGTATAGTTGAATCTAAGCAAAACAAAAAGTGCGATTTAAGAAGTAATTATATGGGGTATTATAATATTAAATCACACCGATCTTGGCAACTTTTTTTCAACCAAAACTTACAAAGAATTAAAAATGTAATAAACACCGAAGAAGAAAAAAAAGAAGCATTTGGGGGAAACAAAAGAAAAGACCCACTGCCCCCTAATAAGCATACCATAAAAGACTTCTGATTAGCGAGGGGTTTACTGAAATCCAATGTGTTGGGCCCATTGGGGCAAATACTGCAGCTTAGCTGTAAACCACAACACAACATGCCAACTGCCCTGTTAATGGCAAAAGGGCAACAACAATTAATGTGAGTATTTCAGTGATTTGACAGTCAAGTTGTTGCAGTGACCATTATGATTATATGTCCCCTCGGTGGTCATAGTTTTTTTTTAAATTAAAAATGTAAAATAGCCTACTAAAACATCATCATCATCATCATCAGGTATGGGCTGTTGTTAATCATACAGAGCTTGCAGTTTATTCTGCTACTCCAGTCTATTCTGTGCAATTGGTTGAATGTCACCGATGGAATTCAGTCCAGCATCTTTGACCTCTCTCATCAACGTCCATCTGAGAGTTTCTTTTGGGCATCCTCATCTTCTCAGTCTATCTGTTTCCCATTTAAGTGCCTCTTTGGTGATTCTTAATTCCCTTTTCCTCAGGATGTGCCCAGTCTATGGTCATCTTAAACAAACAGGCAATAAATGCTCGGTTTGGTCTGCGATATGCAAGTATTTAAAAAAAAATTATTTTTGTTTGTTTGTTTTGTTTTTTAATTTGTGCTGGTAGCCAGACACATTAACTCCTCATAAATACACCTTTTATCAAACCACAGAAATACAACCCGTGAAGACTTCGCTGAAAAGCGGCTGGCCAACCGGTTAAGAAGATTGAGCTCTCATGTAGAACAATTCCAGGTTGGAATCTTTTGTAAAACTTTGAATTTGTTCTGTCGGAGGCAAAAATAAAATCCTAACCTGCAGTCCATGGCGACTTCACTCGCAACGAGGACCTACATCCTCAGGCTCAAAGATACCCTAAACCAAATAAAGACAGTAATGACAGTTTTAACTGAACACTTCATCACGTACTGTTTGATAACATTGGTCGCGTCTGCCCAACACTTGATTGCCTGCTTGTAGTTCCGCTTGCGGTAAAAAAATCCGCCCAAGTATGTGTAAGGGTAGACATGGTGATTGTTGTAGTACTTCACTGACGATGATATGGCTTCTTGAAAAATGGCCAAGGGTGGGGGCCTGCCAGGCGTTGGGGTAATCTCTTCCAGATCTCCGAGGTTACCCAGGGCCATGGGATATCTGGCCAGACAAAAGTAATGAAGGCAGTGAAAATGTGGTTAAACAGACTAAATACACTTGTTTTTTTAATGCTATAGATCTCTGGCATCATGAGAGCTAATAGACTGAAAGGGTTGGGGCATACTGAAAGAATGTCAGATGACAGAGAAGTAAAAACTGTATACACAAGGGAGATGAATGTTCGTAGACCACGAGGCAGACCAAGAAGAATATGGAGAGATAATATCCAGACAGACCTGCAAACACTTGGTGTAACCAACTGAAAAAAGAAGGCCAACCAGACTGATGAATGGATGAGGGCGATATCTTCAGCAATGAACCTCAAAGGCTCGGAATGCTGAAGAAGAAGTAGAAAAGATTCTCAGAATACCAATGACCAAGATGACAACAAATACAGACATTCTAAAAGATCTGGACATCAAGAAAGATTGGCTTGTAAACAGCAACTTGTCTCGAACACTGAAATATTTTTGCCATAAAAAGCGCCACGGTGGATTGGAGAGAATAATAGCAGAAGGTATGGTGGCAGGAGAGAGGGGTAGGGGTCGCCAGCACAAAATTAGGCACAAGATATAATAAGTTAGCTCGGGTGGGAAAGTGCAACAGGCGAGAGATCTGAGGATAAACTAAGTTTCTTGTCAGGCACGCTGTGATGACAGCGACGTTCTGCAAAGGACCTGCTACATCATGGTAATGATGATATAGTTGACACATTTAGGAGTAAAGTTCTACAAAAGACTAACCTGACTTACCCCCACATTGAAGACGTGCAAACAAAAAGAAGCTACCCTGCTGCTCAGACTTATGATGAGAGTTACTAGAACAAGCTGGGGTGCAGATACCAACACAGTATGACCACAAGTATACACAGGACACGGACAACCAAACCTGGAGTATAGCATGGGAGCATACTTCACTACAGCTTAATTAAATCTAAACAAACTGGACAAAATACAGAATACTGGTCTCAGAATCATCACTGGAGGTATGAGAAGCACACCCGTCAATGAGCCGAAGGAAACTTCTGGCCTCCAGAGCTTGAGTTGTCCAAGGGAAGAAAAGGTGCCCCAGGTCCACCCAGACTTTAACGGGTACCAGGTGAAGTCCTGGAAAGTAAAGGCGACCAGTGTGATGTTGACCACATCACCCACCAAGTGCCGATTAGAGTATGTAATATAGGTCTATCACTACATGCACAATACCCCGCACGATGACAGTACACCACCTACCCCGCACAATGATAGTACACCACCTACCCCGCACAATGATAGTACACCACCTACCCCACACAATAACAGTACACCACCTACCCCGCACAATGACAGTACACCACCTACCCCGCACGATGACAGTACACCACCTACCCCGCACGATGACAGTACACCACCTACCCCGCACGATGACAGTACACCACCTACCCCGCACGATGACAGTACACCACCTACCCAGCACGATGACAGTACACCACCTACCCCGGCACAATGACAGTACACCACCTACCCGGCACAATGACAGTACACCACCTACCCGGCACAATGACAGTACACCACCTACCCGGCACAATGACAGTACACCACCTACCCGGCACGATGACAGTACACCACCGACCGTGCACGATGACAGTACACCACCTACCCGGCACGATGACAGTACACCACCTACCTGGCACGATGACAGTACACCACCTACCCGGCACGATGACAGTACACCACCTACCCGGCACGATGACAGTACACCACCTACCTCGCACGATGATAGTACACCACCTACCCGGCACGATGACAGTACACCATCTACCCCGCACAATGATAGCACAACACCTACCCCGCACAATGATAGCACAACACCTACCCTGCACAATGACAGTACACAACTGTAATGATGCTATAAATAGAGATAACGTCAGGGGATGACTGGTAATTGAGCAAGTCCCTGATAGCATGGGTTTCACGGAGATATGGTGAAAAGACAAGAGTGAGTGAGTCACGTGTGAATGCGAGATCTGGGGGATTGAGAATGAGCTGGTCATTCGGTGACTGGGCCCCAGACTGGAAAGATGTGAAGCTGAATCTGTGAAGGTGAATCCAGAATAAAGAATGCACGTGGATCTGAACCAGAGTCAAATGAATGTTAGTGCTGAACGATAAGACAGCACTATTGAATGATCGTCTAGGCCAGCCGTTGTGTTACATGGTTTGTTTGTTGAGCCAGTCGTGTACATGCCAGTGTCCATCGTCTGAAGCATGTCTGGAGACTCAATGCGTGAGCAAGGCGAGATTGCCCGAATGGCGTAAGTTAGTTCACCTGTTGATTCGTGTCTTGTGCTACAGTGACAATAAACCTGTGAAATGTGTCAGCCGTTGTCGACCGTCATTTGATGTTGTGTGGCCGTGGAGGGAAGTGCCGTCTAGTGACAATGAGCTGTGACCTAACCTCTAGACAACAGAGTCAGTATTGAATCTGCACTAGAGAGATCAAGCGTGGAGGAGACACAAGTACATTCATTACATTGGATGCTCGTCCTAAGTGGGAATACATTGTAATTTATAAGTATGAATTACATTAGAGGCTCATCCTAACTGTGGCAGTACATTAGGCGTAATGTTGTTGTGGACAGACGTAAAGTTTAGACAAACACCGGTAGTCGTACGCTGAGAGTGATTATGTGTGTTGGATGATGGAGTTTAAAGTGTCGGGGTATTATGTAGGACCAGGACATGCTGTCGAGGGGCATTATGTAAATCCGGGACAACTGAAGTCCAGACTCTATTCATTCTCAAACGACAAGCTTGCCTGGGAAAAATTTGTAGAAACACAGTGAGTGAATACTGGGTTATGGATCACTCCACATGTTAGAAATTTCACACGTTTTATCCCGCGACGTGGGAACTTTTGTTCGTCGCTGGAGGAGACAGTGTAGGGTGAACTTTTGACCCTCGTGGTGGGTAATCCACGAAGTAAAATTGTCAGCGATTGTATCTGTGATCCTTATTTGAAGTGGGTTTTTTCGTCAAACGAGTGGTCGTAAATCAGAGATACCACTTTCGGAATAGATTACTCCGCAAAAACACTACAATGCCAGGGGCCAGGACAGTAATCAGTATCAGCGAACTCAAGGTCAACACGCTAAGAGCCAATGCGGTCATCAGCGTGGGTCAAACCGTCAAGGTCAACACAGTAGCAGCTAATAGGTCATCAGCGACGGTAACTCAAGTCAACAGTATAACACACTTGCCACAAGTTAATACCGCAAGTTAAGAGCACATGTCAAGAAAATGAGTATTTCGGGGTCGAGTCAACACGAAAAGTAGTCTTTTACTACTAAATGTAATGTAATACGTCAGTATAAGTGAGAGTCCAAGTGTTAATTGTGTTGGCAAGAAAGGAGTGGTGTTCAGCGACATTAATTGCGTCAAGAAACGTTCACTAATAATAATGGATAGACAATAAGAACAGTGATCTATTGTGATAGAATATTCACGTTGTAAAGTGAAACTACTTACTTTCTGGTTAAGAAAAAACTGTTTCAGTGAGAATCGAACATTTATTAACAATTTGTGGTGAAAATTAAAGTGACAGTTATACGCACTAACTGTGAACATAAGAGAATAGTGATCGGTAGAAAATAGTCAACCTGAGTGTAGATTATTGGACTACATTGTATAAAGACTTTTAGGCATAGTAGATGCACTGAATGAGCATAAACTAATGCTAGTCTGTAATGATGCTATAAATAGAGATAACGTCAGGGGATGACTGGCATAATTGGGCAAGTCCCTGATAGCATGGGTTTCACGGCGATATGGTGAAAAGACAAGAGTGAGTGAGTCACGTGTGAATGCGAGATCTGGGGGATTGAGAATGAGCTGGTCATTCGGTGACTGGGCCCCAGACTGGAATGTGAAGCTGAATCTGTGAAGGTGAATCCAGAATGAAGAATGCACGTGGATCTGAACCAGAGTCAAATGAATGTTAGTGCTGAACGATAAGACAGGCAGCACTATTGAATGATCGTCTAACCCAGCCGTTGTGTTACATGGTTTGTTTGTTGAGCCAGTCGTATACATGCCAGTGTCCATTGTCTGAAGCATGTCTGGAGACTCAATGCGTGAGCAAGGCGAGATTGCCCGAATGGCGTAAGTTAGTTTATCTGTTGATTCGTGTCTTGTGCTACAGTGACAATAAACCTGTGAAATGTGTCAGCCGTTGTCGACCGTCATTTGAAGTTGTGTGGCCGTGGAGAGAAGTGGCGTCTAGTGAGAATGAGCTGTGACCTAACCTCTAGACAACAGAGTCAGTGTTGAATCTGCACTAGAGAGATCAAGTGTGGAGGAGACATAGTACATTCATTACAACCACCTACCCGGCACAATGACAGTACACCACCTACCCCGCACGATGACAGTACACCACCTACCTCGTACAATGACAGTACACCACCTATCCCGCACAATGACAGTACACCACCTACCTCGCACAATGACAGTACACCACCTACCCCGCACGACGACATTACACCACCTACTCCGCACGATGACAGTACACCACCTACCTAGCACAATGACAGTACACCACCTACCCCGCACGACGACATTACACCACCTACCCCGCACGATGACAGTACACCACCTACCCCGCACGACGACATTACACCACCTACTCCGCACGATGACAGTACACCACCTACCCCGCACCAGAAAACTGAAAGATGGAGACTGAGGGCCTAATGTTTTCTTCATAGTGCTGCTACTGCAGGGACATATCTATGACAGAACTGATGAAATCAGACCACTCACCTCGACAGATGACCTCTATCATACAACAACCACAGCAGCTCCTGCAAACAGAACCAACAGAGGACTTTAAGCCTAAATACTTCCATTTTCTGACTATGCAGCTTGTGGACTAGATCAGCAGTTCTCAAACTTTTTTAGCCTGATGGGCTAAAAAAAATTCTCGAAAACCCTACGTTTGAATACTTTGGAAAAGAAAAAAAAAAACAGTGCAGCGCAAATGTTTTGCTTATTTGTCTTGAATGCGATGAATGAGACTGTTTGGACTTATCGACTGCACACGTCGAGATAAATAAAGAACAGTTATTAGCACGTTGTGATTGGCATATTATGCCATATGAAGCAACACAAAATAAATTCTTTTCGACGGCAGTTAGGGAAGACAACTTAAATTTTAACTTGTAAGTATCTCCATGCCTTCTTTCATAATTTCTAAAATTTGTTGCCGACTTTTCTTGATTATTGCCGCGGCACCCCTGACGGCACCTAGTTTGAGAACCGTTGGACTAGATAAATATCCTTGAAGCTTGATCACAATGAAACCTGATCCAACAGATTAATTACAAAGTTATCAAAGGTATATTAGCAAGAGTGGTTGAATACAAATGTTACAGAAGGGTTCCAAGAATATCATGGGTTTAAAAAAAAAAAAGAACAAATGCATCCATACTTCAAGATCTGAATACTGAAGAAAGTTGGCTTTTAAAGACGATAAAATGCAGAAAATTGAAATATTCTGGTCACTTGAAACGGAAGAGAGAAGGAAGGCCAAAGAGAAGATGGGTGCAGGATTATCTCCAGATGGGTGTATCGGCGCTGGACATCTTGTGATCGAGAAGTTTTCCCAGAGGGTTGTCATAGGAGCAAGGTTCTGCAAAGGACAGGCTAGTGACTGACTGGTTGAATTACCACAGGCTAGGCATGACAAAACTTCCAACCTCTTCTGTGCTAGTGCCTCCTACACAATACTCGAGACTTGTACTCAAGCACTGTTATGCAACAGAAACATAACACCCCACAGCTTACAATCCCAATCTGTGACCATTTGATTTTCACTTATTCAGATCTTAAAACTACTCTCTCAAAGACTGTTTCCAACTGACACAGATTTCATAACAGTGACAACCATATGGTTCAATCAGCAATCAATGTCTTTCTTTGTAAACAGTATTCACTGCCTGCTCAAGCAGTTGGATAAGTAAATGCTTGTAGCGATGTCTGATGACCCCATATGCATACTAGCTTATTAACTGATGACCCCATTTGCATACTAGCTTATTAACTGATGACCCCATTTGCATACTAGCATATTAACTGATGACCCCATTTGCATACTAGCTTATTAACTGATGACCCCATTTGCATACTAGCTTATTAACTGATGACCCCATTTGCATACTAGCTTATTAACCATTGTTTTCTTTAATTCTATCACAGCTGCTGATATACCTTAATGAACAATATAATATATAAATTATATAATGTCTCTAATAAAGCTATTGAGGCTGATTTAGATTAATCATGCCCCCATAAAAATCATTCAAAAACAAAACAACAACAAAAACAACAAACAAAGAATGCAGCATTTTGTCTAAAAAATTAATAATTAAACTACATTAAATATTTTAGTGCAATCGTTACCAACCTTTGTGTTTTTTGTGTGTGCATTTTAAAACTTAAACATCTGAGAAAACAAATCATCTTATACACTGAAAACAAGGCGGGCGGCACCATTTATGACATGCTTGTTAGTGGACGTAGGCTCTGTGGCTAACTCGATGCGAACGCTTCGTAATGCCAGGGCCATGCGCCTTACATTGGTTTCAACAGTGGTATCAAGAAAGCCGACCGTCCAGAAAGCAATGACAAACTACTGGTCGCAAATTTGTCTAGAAAAACCCCACAACAACCAGGGGCTGTTAGGGTTGGTTCTGCAATGTCCTGTAAAGGGTACGCAACTAACTTGTTAGTGGACAGTGTGTATATCCCCCCCTTCACCTACCCACAATGGGGGCCCCACAGCCCACATCGTGGATACTATTCATTAAAAAGTTATATAAATCACGAAAGTATGTAGTACAATTGATGATGTATGCCAGGAAGAACAACCCAGCTCACAACTAAACAGGTCATAACAGTGTCCATTACCTGCTGTAAAGCTCCCATCTCTATGCTGTCCATCGACACATTGATTCCTGGGTTCAGTGATGACACAATGGCTGACACTTCCATCAGTCGGTCACAAACGATTGGATGCCCATTCAGATACAGCCAGGACTTTTCTGCCACACTGAGAGCAATTGATTGGCCACGTTTGTCTTCATTACCCTTCCCTTGACAAAGAAATAAGTACGTTATGTGTAATATAATTCACGGAGCAGTGATAATTAATTAAACAGAGGAATAATGAATTACAGACATTCAGCTTGAATAAATACATGAATGGTACAGGTATTGATGTGGATTCCTGGCACGGCCAGCTCCAGTGAGGCCGTACAACTGAATCACGGCACATTTTGGCTGAGTCCCCTCGGAAATAGGTTACTGCAAGCGTTTCCATGTTGCATTTTGTGACATTATAATATGCTTACAAACTTCTGTGTTCTGATTGTATTCGTATTACAAATCGACAAGCGGATATTGTAAAGTGGACATACAAGCTGTTAGATTATAGCAATTTTAATTGTAATTCACGGGAGACAGTTGTGTTGTGATGTGTGTGTCAGTGTCACTGTTTCTAGTCAGTAGTTCGGATTTTTGGGAACTGGCTGTTTACTACTTTTCTACTTTAAATGTAGAAATCTTACTTTTAGGGATAATACAAACAGGTAATTTAGAAGCCATATCTGGAAAAAATCCACAGTTGTCAGGTAAGTGGATGAAAATAATATTTAATTTACTAGCTAACCTCTCACAGCAAGTCACTCTTTGCATCTTTACTAATTGTTGACTAGCAGTATAATTATATGTTGTAGCAGTACACTAATAATATTAATCCTTAACCATTTGACTTATGCTTCGCGAACACTGGCTGTAAACTCTTGCGGAAACTTCGGGTTGCTCATCGACTTCTTCTGCATATTTGCAGTTCTATGGTCTGTGTTAATTTTTGAAAACTGGCTTTTGCTTTGCTTCGCGAACACTGGCTGTAAACACTTGCGGAAACTTCTGGTTGCTCATCTTCTTTTGCATATTTGCAGTTGTACGGCCTGTGTTAATTTTTGTAAACTGGCTTTTGCTTTGCTTCACGAACACTGGCTGTAAACTCTTGCGGAAACTTCTGGTTGTTCATCCACTTCCTATGCATATTTGTTACTAAAAAATTCGCAATGATAAGGAATTGATTTCATCCAACAAGATGAAACTGGACAAATTTGTTTGTGCTGTTTGTAGCTTGAGGATACATATTTAGTAGTGCTATAAGTACTGTTAAGAAAACTACTCTGGGTGAAAAAAGTATTGCACATATCAATTTCATACTGATTGTGCTTGTTTACTAATTATTAAATAACAGTATAATTATATGTTGTAGTAGTCTACTAATAATAATAATAAGCAAAAATTATTTATATTTAAATTTAATAAAGTACAAATGTCACCCCCCCCCCCCCCCCCCCCTGATGCAGCAATACCCTCTCAGAATCAAAGAGTTAGCACTGATATTTCTTTACTTTTGCTGGAGCAACTTTTAGTTTACATCTAAACGTTATTGATGTTTATGTTCATGTTGACCGTAGCAAAAGCATTTTTGTTTGTCTGTAAGAGCCTTTATTGTTATATTTAATTGGCACACTTATTTACCTTAAAAATGACGTATAGTTCTAAAAAATATGTCGAAAATTAATTAAACTGTAGTTTAATTTGTGAATACATCTCCTCGATAAAAACTGTGGACGCAGAGGGACTCAATTCTTGCACAAGAACGGGAATTCCCGTTCGAGCTGGACGGCCTTATAAATCTGGAGCTGGCCGTGATTCCTGGGAACAGGATGCTATCGACTGTGTTGTAAGAAGGGGGAAATTAAGGATGGGAATAGGGATAAAGAGGGAGCCGCCATGGTGTAGTGGCTAGATGATCACCCACAGCCTGTGGACTGGGACCTGATGGGGCTGGACTTGTTTCAGAAATTACCTTGGTTCCGAGGTCAACCCAGTCTTAAGTGGGGACCAGGTAAAGTCATGGGAAGTGAAGGTGGCAGGCGTGATTTTGACCACATCACCGGCCAAGTGCAGATAAGTCCATAAAATATAGGTCCAGCCCAATATGTCTAAAGGCCTAGAAAAGGGTCCGTGGATAGTGATAAAGGAATAAAATGACTGCGGACAGGTTAACAGCTCAGGGTCTGAGACAAAAGCACATTAAACACATGCCATGGCAACAATGGGTTCTGGAAACCCATGCTCTGACTGTGGAAGACTTTCTGTAATGCAAGCAAGTGTTCCTAGTCATGCTTGTCAATAGCATGGGCTGAGATTTCCATGCTCCTCTACAACAGATTTTAGAATTATCGTTGGTTGCTTGCTTGTGAACCTTAGTGGAGTAATGCTGAGTTTCAACTACGTAAGTCAGCTAAGCAAGTACTCAAGTCATTTGAGCCCAAACAAGGGCTTGTATCAACCAGTTACTGAATGCTCCACAGGGGAATTAAAGAGCAAAAAAAGAAGAATGTAACAGAGAATTTGGTTCTTTATTAATATCTTACCCCAGATGACGTCACAGGACAGTCCAACATTTTAGAGGGTGGTAAGACTGGGTTTCCCGGCTTTCTGATGCTTTTAACGACCCCAAAACATCTAGAACTGGCCCTAACCCCAACCCACCTACGTCCCACGAGAGAGTGCAGCCTAGGTCCCACAAACGCATGCAGCCTAGGTCTCACGACTGCATGCAGCCTTTCTACCACCCCTGAAGTATTAGACTGTCCCGTGACCTGTGGATTTCCCCTGTTTGGGGTAGGATATTGATACAGCACAGAAAAATCCCTTTCAAAAATCAGTTATTGCCTCCCCATATGGGCTCCAGGGTCCCATTGTAATGGAAGAAAGAACAGACCCACTGCTCCCTGCCCCCCTCCAAAGCATGTCATGTAAAAGTTGACTAATTAGGGGTGTTTGCTTCTGAATGCATCTGCCTGAGAGGCAAGGAACCAACCATCTGCATACAAACAAGCCACAGCTGTAAAACAGATGTGCACATAAAACTAATGTTCTGGAACAAGACTAAAGTCCAGAAGTGGACAAACAACCACAACTTTCTGCAGAATTTACAGCCAGTCAATGCCAAGAAGAGAAGAAATTACCATGCCAAGTAACTTCAGCCGTGTCTGTAGAATCTCTGCCAAATACCACCCAGGCATGATCTTCGGACAGCGCCAGATGAAGATCTTTGAGACCCAGGAGCTGTGCTGCTGCAACCACTCCAAAAGCCACGCCAAAACAGTCAAGTTTGTTTCCTGCAGGTTCAGAAGAAAAACAATTTGCATTAAATAGGAAACTGACAACAGCAGTGCTGAACTTAAACATACTATAGAACATGCATTAGTTTTCATGTTCCAAACAACCGATTTAAAGCACATGGCCCAACAATTCATGCGATTTTTTCATCACCTCTGCAGCTCCTTCTTGGTGCCATCTTCATAAAAATCCTAATCACTATGCTTGTCACTGAGTGTTTATATTTGTCTTGCATTTGACTTCATGTGCCACACCCATCAGACAAGTACTACACATATTTCTGTTTGCAGCATAAAGGATCCTTTCCCAAGCCTACAGGCACATTGGGAATATAGGGCTAGATCTATATTTTTATAGTCCAATCAGCACTTGGTGGGTGATGTGGTCAACACATCCTGCTTTTACTTCCCAAAACTTGTACCTGGTACCCATTTAAGGCTGGGTTGACATTGGAGCCAAGGTCATTTTTGTAAAAGTCTGGCTCCATCAGGAGCTGTAATCCACAGTCGTCTGGTCTGGTAGTCTTAGTTTCAGCTTCATAGCAAACGGGTCGTCCCATTTTTGCTCCACTCCTGTGCCAACGAAAAACACCCAGAATGTTTATCACAGTCCCTTGTGGAAAGATTGACAGACTGCTGTCTCAGCATATCTAGCATACACTCGCATTAAAGCATACGGTAGCCATCCAAAGTGCTAACAAAAACAGTCCAACATTAGAAATACAGTTCATCATTGATGATAGCAAAACTTGTCGCCAACTGATCAGCAGTTGTCCACGCGATCAATTTTAACCAGATACGGGCACCGCCAACATTGCACGACAGGCATCACGCCATTTTCTGAATCTACAATTCACACCACCACCTTGGTCACAGTCGAAAATACATTCCAAATGCAATCCGCAGCTCACAGGGTCACGCCATGCATTCAACTCAGAAGCTGGGCGACGAAACTATATCCAGTCTACAAATGGAGCAAAAATACTTCGGCCACCGTCCGGCAGAAGCAAAAAATTTGCCTCTGCTTCGAACAGCGCCGCTGTCTAGCGTCCATTTTAACCGGAAGTGTAACCCACAACCTTCCTCCGCTCCGCAGGTGAGTTCTAGATGCTACACTATGGCAGCTTCCATCTGCAGCATAGCTGTCTGATATTTGCACTTTTGGGCCCACACATATGACTTCTTCAGACATTTGTTGTCTAAGTTAGCCTTCTGCCTGGGACACTGAATAGTCTCTCTGTTATGTCATCCTTCCCCTCTAATCCACAAATGTTGCCTCTTAGATAGTCAGTCCAGAAGAGCCACATACATGCTGGTCAGACCTCTCTGTTATGTCATCCTTGGCCTCTAATCCACAGATGTTGCCTCTTAGACAGTCTGGTCAGACCTCTCTGTTATGTCATCCTTGGCCTCTAATCCACAGATGTTGCCTCTTAGACAGTCAGTCCAGAGGAGCCACATACATGCTGGTCAGACCTCTCTGTTATCCTTGCACTCTAATCCACAGATGTTGCCCCTTAGACAGTCTCTCAAGCGGAGCCACATACATGCTGGTCAGACCTCTCTGTTATGTCATCCTTGCACTCTAATCCACAGATGTTGCCTCTTAGACAGTCAGTTCAGAGGAGCCACATACATGCTGGTCAGACCTCTCTGTTGTGTCATCCTTGCACTCTAATCCACAGATGTTGCCTCTTAAACAGTCAGTCCAGAGAAGCCACATACATGCTGGTCAGACCTCTCTGTTATGTCATCCTTGGTCTCTATTCCACAGATGTTGCCTCTTGGACAGTCAGTCCAGAGGAGCCACATACATGCTGGTCAGACCTCTCTGTTGTGTCATCCTTGCACTCTAATCCACAGACGTTGCCTCTTAGACAGTCAGTCCAGAGGAGCCACATACATGCTGGTCAGACCTCTCTGTTATGTCATCCCTGCACTCTAATCCACAGATGGGGCCTCCCAGACTGTCTGTCTAGAGGAGCCACATACATGCTGGTCAGACCTCTCTGTTATGTCATCCTTGCACTCTAATCCACAGATGTTGCCTCTTGGACAGTCAGTCCAGAGGAGCCACATACATGCTGGTCAGACCTCTCTGTTGTGTCATCCTTGGCCTCTAATCCACAGATGTTGCCTCTTGGACAGTCAGTCCAGAGGAGCCACATACATGCTGGTCAGACCTCTCTGTTATGTCATCCTTGCACTCTAATCCACAGATGGGGCCTCCCAGACTGTCTGTCTAGAGGAGCCACATACATGCTGGTCAGACCTCTCTGTTATGTCATCCTTGCACTCTAATCCACAGATGGGGCCTCCCAGACTGTCTGTCTAGAGGAGCCACATACATGCTGGTCAGACCTCTCTGTTATGTCATCCTTGCACTCTAATCCACAGATGGGGCCTCTTAGACAGTCAGTCCAGAGGAGCCACATACATGCTGGTCAGACCTCTCTGTTGTGTCATCCTTGCACTCTAATCCACAGATGTTGCCTCTTAAACAGTCAGTCCAGAGGAGCCACATACATGCTGGTCAGACCTCTCTGTTATGTCATCCTTGGCCTCTATTCCACAGATGTTGCCTCTTGGACAGTCAGTCCAGAGGAGCCACATACATGCTGGTCAGACCTCTCTGTTGTGTCATCCTTGCACTCTAATCCTCAGATGTTGCCTCTTGGACAGTCAGTCCAGAGGAGCCACATACATGCTGGTCAGACCTCTCTGTTGTGTCATCCTTGCACTCTAATCCTCAGATGTTGCCTCTTGGACAGTCAGTCCAGAGGAGCCACATACATGCTGGTCAGACCTCTCTGTTATGTCATCCTTGCACTCTAATCCACAGATGGGGCCTCCCAGACTGTCTGTCTAGAGGAGCCACATACATGCTGGTCAGACCTCTCTGTTATGTCATCCTTGCACTCTAATCCACAGATGGGGCCTCCCAGACTGTCTAGAGGAGCCACATACATGCTGGTCAGACCTCTCTGTTATGTCATCCTTGGCCTCTAATCCACAGATGTTGCCTCTTAGACAGTCTGGTCAGACCTCTCTGTTGTGTCATCCTTGGCCTCTATTCCACAGATGTTGCCTTTTAGACAGTCTGGTCAGACCTCTCTGTTATGTCATCCTTGCACTCTAATCCACAGATGGGGCCTCTTAGTCTGTCCAGCGGAGCCACATACATGCTGGTCAGACCTCAGTGCAACATATACTGAGCCAAACTAACAGAAACTATTCTCCTGGCTAACAGCAGGTACCAAGATTAAGAACTGTGTGGACAAGTGTGATGCTAAGTGGTGCATTAACTTTCAGTCAGGTAAAGTGGTTTATAAATGAACGCTGCCTGTTTCACACTACTGTAAGATGTTCCAATTAAACAGTCTCCAGTTTGACAACTGAATATTGGGATTACAATAGAAATGACATTTTTACACACTATGTTAGGTGTAACAAGGAAAGATTGGCTTTGAAACGATGATTTCAGGATTCATCAGCAGAAAACATATCAAATGGTTAGATATGTAACAAGATTAAAATCAGACAGGGCATCACCGACAGCAAATGTTGTACAGATACAACGGTAACAGAGCCAGATGTCGACCAGACAATGGACTTCAGAAATATCAGATGCACTGAAAAATACATACTAGATATGAAGCCAACAAAAAGGCCCATTCCAGGGATCCCTGAGGCATTCCATGAGTAGAGGAAACAAGAAGAAGAAAAGACTGTGGCATCAAAGGGCTAATATGCACAGGAATGTGCAATGTTGATTGTTGCAACATAAGTCAAATGGGCTATCTTCCGAAAAACGGTCCCAAATTATTGAGGCCAAAAATATACCATAACAGGGCCTCGGTCACATGTAAATTGGGGCACTTCCGGCGACCTAAATTGCACACTTCCGGCAACTATCGCCACCGTCGAGAGTATTTCCCACGCCGCTATGCGCAGCGTGGATTGAGGCTAAACTGGATGGCTGGGACTCACGAGCAGCAGCTACCGCATCTCCTGCAGCTTCATTCTATTTGCTCGTGAGTCCCAGCTATCTAGTTTAGCCCCACTCCACGACGTGCATAGCGGCGTGGGAGATACTCTCAGCGCTGGCGGAAGTTCGCAATTTACTTGTGACTGAGGCCCTGTAAGGGTATATTTTCAGCCTGAGTAATTTAGGACCGTTATTCGGAAAACCTGGCCAAGATGGCGGAATAAGCTGCGGCTATCACTATGCAGTTTTTATAAATTTTGTTTTAGGGGATTTCCATCAAATTATTGTTCAAACAAGGATGATCCAACGACAGGCCCAGCAAGTCGGTAGGGGATTTGTTTGTTCAAGCACCATTGCTCAAGATTTATGGTGTATTTTGAAGAAAAAGCGCGATTAAACCAGCGCTTCAAACCGCCACACACAAGACAGAGTCAGGAAAGAAACACCGGCCAAGAAAAACTGTCACTCAAATCATGCGAGAGGCACAAAACAAATATTTTAAACCACGACACTGGGCTGCAACCCGGTAAAAGTGAAGAAGACAATAGATAGATTCGGAAGACAGCTGTCAAATGTATATACTCCTAAAAGCAGTGAGATAATAGTTAAATCATCCCTAGAACTAACTTTTAACAAACAACTATATTAATTGCCTGCTGTGTGTTGCCTAATAGTTACTAATACTTTGTATGTTTATATATAGCACTACTACTGGACATTCACATTGACACTGGATTGGAGAAATCGATGATTCAAATTATACATCATCCACAGCAAACTGAGCAATAAAATATCTGTTGTTACATGGTCCAAAGATCAACAATTCATGGCCTGATTTAACTATGACCTAGCCTTAGACTTAGAGTTTGGACAAAACTTGATCTTGTTGGTGTGGTTTTCAAATTCACTTACCTGTCAGAAAACTGTACAGCGATTGCAGGTGCGCTCTGTCTTTGAAGTTGCGTGATAGAGAACCCCATATAACATCAGAAACTTTCTTAACCAGTTCCCTCGTTGAATTGCCACTCGGGTATTTCGTCAGGTCTACCGATCCTTTCACTAATGCCTCAAACTTTGAATACAAAGCATCGACAGTCTCCCAGTCGACGACCGGAAAAATCGGCCTCAATACGTCATCATTAGACGTCGTTACAGATCTGTTCAAAGTCAAAGTATTTTCAACACATCCCAGAACGATGGACAGTAGCGCAAGATTAGGTTCATCTGGTCCTTCCAGTTGTTCTCTGAATAGTTCCACTACAGAGGCGATACTCGTCAGTGGGAAATGCCTCCTCTCCCGGCCATGGAATGGCGCCATCTTTGATATTGTGATGCCAGAACCAGAGTGACCTAACTTGACTGCAGTATTGCCACTTTTCTTTGACAAAAAATATCCAAAACGGTGTCAACAAATATCTAAAAAGATCTAAATCTGCGTGGAAAAGATCTAGAAAAAACATCCACATTTAAAAAGTCAAAAATAACATAGCTTTTGTTATGACTTACCCTACATAATCATGTCCTCACCTTTACTGATGTCTGCCTCACAAGCTTGGATAATGAAGTTGAAGCTTCAGATCCAAAATGACCCTGGTATGCTTAAGCTGTTCAAATTACTTTATAAGTGGAACAGTAGGCTTTTTTCTCGAGTCTCATCAGGCCGAATTTTAATGGCACGATAGCATTTAAGAGGTCAAATTTCATCCTGTTTTTTAGGTTAGATTTGATATAATTCCTAGCACTGAAAACTCTTTCTGCGTCAGCATTTGAGTGGGGTAATATCATGGCAGACATGGCACTTTAAAGAGCTTACATAATGGACTATTTGATGAGGCATCATTAAATTGTCTCACTTCAATCGCTCAGGCATTATCAGTACCAATTACAGCCAAATTCTTCAAGCCTAACTGTTTGCTGAATAAAAGGTCCTTCAGTTCCAAACTATACTGTCTACATCACACTTTTCAAATTGAACTAGTCCAAGATTTTTTACAAATCGATCATATGGTCACAGTTTGAAATTGCGCAGTGACAAATTAAAAACATTGCGACTGATACTTCAACTTTTGATGATTCATTTATCATTATAGTTCTGGAAACAGATGTCAGATGTAATATCTTTAAATGAAACTGCAGTTTTATGCTTTTTTAGTCTCTGCATGACTCTTTGAGTTTTGTATTTTCGCTTTAATTTCACACTTGCAGTAGGTCATATCCCCAGTTTTTAATTTTGTCATCATGCAACCACTCTTTCCAAATTTTGTGCTCATACTTTGATTTAGCATGTTGAAAGATTTTTTTCAGAGTGAAAGCCACATAAGAAAGTGAGCAATTATTTTTTTTTTAAATCACGTGAAAAAGAAACGCAAAGTCAGCACAGTAAGGATACGGTTGAAACAAAGTTAGTATCTTCTTCTTCTTCTTCGATCCTTCTGTCAGAAAACTTATATCAGGAGGCCGGTAGCCTTTATGAAAGCTATCGTGCAATCCATATCCTCTCGTGTGCCATACAGTTTTGTCTTCAGTGTGGTTGGAACAGGCCAGATTGCGTCTCTGTTGTCAGCATACAGTTGACAGTGTTGGAGCACATGCTCAGCATTTTCGGGTGCCACGCTGCAGGGACACGTCTCCGTATTTTTTACACCAAAAAATTTGAACATATGTTGACGAAATCTGTTGTGCCCTGTCCTTAGTCTGAATATAATACACGTTAGTATGATTTACGCGCGTTTTTAATAATCAGTACCGGGGCTGCCAGATATTTGTGCGTTGACTCCAGTGAGAGTTCAAAGTTCAAGTAATGGCAGTTGTCACAATGTACGTGCCAGACCAAAACAAAAATATTGTAGTAAATATTTTACACAGTAATTATTAAATTGACAATGAAAGAAAAAAAATCTATAAAATATCTAACTCCATATGAAAAGCTTCTAGAAAAATAATTACGATCTAAACGTCAAAAACAGTATCTAAATGCAATGAAAAATATCTAAATTTGGATAAAAGATTCAAAATGGCAACACTGCTTGACTGCCCCTGCACACATGGATGGGGTAGTTATGATCGTTGTTGTTGTTTCGCACCAAGGTTGGTGTCCGCAGCAATTACACCTCAAGGATGAGAATAAGACAGGAACAAATCCATAAACACCGCTCAAACCGTGTTTTGTTAGTACAGCCTACAGTTACGAATCAGCCTGCAGTCTAGTGTTAGGTGGGATTCTATCAAAGGATGTGTTGACTGTGATATTTATGGCCCTCGGTATTGTCAACAAATGAGAACATTATTGGCCTCTAAAGAGATAAACGAACAATTAGAACTGTCAGATATTATATATACTCAACTCCACTGTAAGATGCAGCAATTTGGATAATAAACAAGCAATTAGAAAGCTGAACTGAGTCTCTGAAGGTGTGGATAGACAGGAAAAAAATTCCTCTGTTGTATTTCATAGAAACAAAGGAAGCCAGGAGTTCTGAAGAGACTGGGAATGAAAAGGGTGTTAATGGGGGGGGGGATATTAAAGAGATAATCGTAGTAGCAGTAGTATTAGCAGCAGCAGCAGTAGTAGTAGTGGACATAACAGTTAACGTTAGTTGCGTATCCTTTACAGGACATTGTAGAACCAACCCCAGCATTTTTTGGTGTTGTGGTTTTTCAAGGCAAATTTACGTCCAGTAGTAAACCATTGACCCTGAACAGTCGGCTTCTCGGTACATCTGTCGAAACCAACGCAAAACGCAAGGCTCGCAGCTGGGATCGAACCCAGAATTACGAAGCGCGTTTGCAACGCATAAGCAACAGACGCCGACGGACATTATAGTACCAAAACGATAGTGAACCGACATCATAACACGCGGGACATAAGCACCCCGTCCCTTTATTCAGCAGCAAGTGCAGAGTTCCGATTCCGAAGGCACCAGTAACAATATGATTGTATGACCGTCTCGACCCTCCCCTGTGTGTTGAGAGTCGGCTAGATCAATCCTCGTTGCACTGACCATGACGATCTTATTGTGTCTTCGCGCTGTTTCCAGGAAAGATATAAAACCTAACGAAAAGTATATCAGCGAGCTTCACCATATAACAAATACAAAGTGTGCACGTTGCGACTATGGAGCCTTCTTCAGCGCATACATAGCATAGACAATACTACACAAATACACAATATCACTTATCTTCTTATCTCATGGCAGCCATGTCGATGTCAAGGCCATAGTCTGGCGAAGCACGTGGGATCGTTACAACATATAGACTACATCTATTTACCGCCAAGTGGTACTTAATCATCAAGTTTTTCAGCTTCTTTATTTGCCATACACGCCGGCATCTGCAGGATTAAATATCCCTGGGACAGGGGTACCCGGAGACATGGTGCGTCCGGGGTTGTTTGGCGTGGAGATCTTTGGCAGTAGGTGCATACAAAGTTTGCTGACGTGCTAACAAATAACAAACGTTACTAGCAACCTTTAGTAGCTTGCATTGTGAAGTAGCGGATGTAGAGTGTCCTTGGCTGTCGTGTTGTCGGAGCGCAGTTGGGTAGATAGTCGTGGATTCATAGAAGTCGGGATGATATGGCCTGCCATTCACCAGTGGAGATGTTGGATTTGCATATGACCTTTGTTAAAACTGTTAGACATTATGGTTATTTTTACGATGGTCTCCCCATTTGCACATCACCAGTTGTAGGTCAGCTCCATTGATAAGTTGGCTGGAGTAGTCTACCCTGGTCGAGGTTATGGGTGTCGCAGACTGTTGTCTGGTATTTACGTTTTTATTTCCGAGAAAGAGACGGCCCGTGACATAGGTTTTGTCACTCTCTAGGGAGTTGCGTGTTAGACCCAGTATCTAAATGTTTTAGAAGTGATAAAAGCTCTGATATGGTGAAATATACAACACGCGGTATAAGCGCGAGTGAGAAATATCCCCGTGACCTTGTGTGAAAGTCGGAACCCTCGAGGCCGTCCTATCGGAAGTGAGCTGGTCAGTAGGTTGTCCAATCAGAAGCGAGCTAGTGTGTAGTGGTGTGCAAATGGAGAGACCAGCGTAAAAATTACCGACATTATATATGCCCCCCCCCCCCAAAAAAAAGGGGGGGGGGGGGGGGGCGCTGCAATCAGTTTGTTTACTGTTAAGAGAAATGCTATTTCGTGAATAGGTGCAGTGGAAGCACAAAGCTGTTCCACCAACCACCTCCCCCAAAAAATGTTGCAGACGAAAACGGCTGTGTGAAGGAGAGTGAGCTCGTCAGCGCGGTGTCTTAAAAACGCAAATGTCATGCCTTTATTAAAGAGGGGAGCGTTCTTCATCGGATGGTCGAGTACAACAATCGATTTATTATAGTGGGCAACAGATGGAAGATTATTTTTAATACCTACAAAACACGGGAAGCAGTAAAATCGTCAACGCAATAGTCGTGTGAGAAGTTGGCGAAAAAGTAGTAGAAAGTGAAATATTGATTAATGAGCAACCGGTTATAGCTACCAGGAATCACAGCGAATATGCAGATTCCGTTGGGTTGGGGCTGGGAATGGCAGGGGTGGTTGGGGATGATGGGACTGTTACGTGAAGGTTTTTCCACCCCGATATTACTAACATCTTCTTCTGAATGGCAAGCCAATGTCACAAATCCCAGATACTCAGTTCGCACTTTCTTTTTGAAGTCCATGCCGTGTGACGTTGGTAGTCACGACTATCTACGACACATTAAGGCAAACCTTTTTGCCAGAAAGAACAAAAGTGGAACGTAAACTCCATAGACCACTGAATGAACTAACAACGACAGTGAAATTTATACAAGAGACAAAACTGCTGATATAGACAACTTATTTCAGGCGAACGAAAGAAGAAGAAGATGACTATCTACACCTTTCTGTTTCGTGTACCTTCAATCAACTACGACACAGATGATCTCCCATGCCATGATGTCAAACTGTTCAGCATTTTCTCTCGCGGTCTCCCCCTGCCTCTCCTCCCCTCCAACTTTCCCACTGTCACGATGTACCCCAGTTTTCTTCTTCACATCACATGACCAAAGAATGTAGATTGTCTCTTTCTGAGGTGGGTAATCCCTTCTCTTCGTGAGTCATTTCTTTCAAGATATCCTCATTACTCTTTTTATCTGTCCAGGGTATTCTCATTACTCGTCCATAAAACCACATATCCACAGCTTTAAAAAAAATGTGTCACTAATCTACCAAACTGTCCATGATTCACTTCCGTATATCACTGTGAAGTTATAACTGGGGCACCCGTATAGGCCACAACTGCCTGATGTTGACTGTAGTGGTGTGTGGGCAGCACCAGGTTAGGACACTT